GGTGGGTCTCACTAGGGCAGAGTAGAGGGGGAGGATAATCTCCCTCGACCTGCTGGCCACAATCCTCTTAATGCACCCCAGGATACCATTGACCTTCTTGGCAACTGCTGGCTCATGGTCAGCTTGTCGTCCACCAGGACTCTGAGGTCCCTCTCGGCAGTGCTCTTTTCTAGCAGGCTGTACTGGTGCATGGGGTTCAACCTCCCCAGGTGCAGCACCCGACACTTGCCCTTGTTGACCTTCATCAGGTTCCTCTCCACCCAACTCTCCAGCCTGTCCAGGTCCCGCTGAATGGCAGCACAGCCTTCCAGTGTATCAGCTGCTCCTCCTCCCAGTTTTGTGCCATCACCCAGGGAAGGGGAGCTGTGGGGCACAATCCAGTCTGGATTTTGCGGGTACCTCTCTGCTGCCTGGAGGGACACCCGGGTGATGGAGGTCACCTCATGCTTTTGGCCATCTCCTCCACAATTGTTCCCAGCACTGCCTTCCTTGCCCTTCTTGCAGGCACCCAGCAATTTACTGATCGCATCTTGGCATCATTTCGAAGTCTACCATTCTGCTAGGCCAGGTAGCCTGAAATTACTCTTTGGGACACGGTGACAGTAGGGTGGGAGGCTCCTCCAGAGCTAGACATTGCAAGCAGTTGGGGAAGTGGGCCTCAACAAGAGCTTGGTGCTACACCCAGACCACTCCGGTCTCAAACATGGCCTCAGACATGGTCTTGTATCAGCAGAGTGAACTGCCTGACCTGCCTACCCCTTGCTCACAAGAGCTGCCTCAGGGGCTGCCTACTAATGCTATGTGTATCAAGCACAGCCTGAGGAGCGTATCTAAAAAAATCATGTTTCCCGGGGGACGTTGATCTTGCAGCGTCCAAATGCTGAAAGCGAGGAGGATGCTGCCACCAACACACGCAGCCCTGCCTGGATGCAGGCGTTTTCCAAAGCCTCCGTGGGAGGATGTGCTGCCCTTGCTGCCGTGGCATTAGCCATGCATGTTTAGCCTAAGCTGCACGCCAGATGCCTTTCATAAATATGGCATCCCTTGCACAAAAATGTACTTATTTTATATATTGCTGACTGATTGATCCCAAAGGGCCGGGGTGGCAGGCAGATACTCAGTACGTGTTTCTGCCCCGTGGATGTGCCTTCAAGCTCATTACCCTAAGCACTGGTGGCTTGCTGCCCTCAGCAGCATGGGGGTCAGCCTAGGCTTCAAACCCTACCCCACAAATGAACAAACCAGCTCAAGCTGAGCTCCATGCCTGTGATGGTTTGACCTTGGCTGGACACCAGGTGCCACCAAGCCGCTCTATCGCTCCCCTATTCAGGACAGGCAGGGAAAAAATGAGAGGGAAAGGAAAAAAAACCTGTGGGTCAAGATAAAGGCAGTTTAATGAAAAGCAAAAGCAAAATCAAAGGCTGTGCATGGTAGCAAAAGGAAAACAAGATTTTATTCTCTACTTCCCATTAGCAGGTGATGTCCAGCCACTTCCTGGGAAGCAGGGCTTCAGCATGCATAGCCATTGCTCTGGAAGACAAAAACGTCATAAAAGATTAATGCCCCCCCTTTCCTCCTCCTTTCCCTTAGCTTTTATATCTGAACTGACCTCATATGGTATGGAATATCCTTCTGGTCGGTTTGGGCCAGGTGTCTTGGCTATGCCCCCTCCCAACATCTTGCCCCCTCCCAGCTCACTGGGGGGAGTGTTGGAGACACAGCCTTGATGCTGTGCCAGCACCGCTCAGCAGTAGCCAAAACACGGGTGTGTTATCAGCACCTTTCTAGCTACTGATAGAAAGCACAGCACTATGAGGGCTGCTATGAGGAAAATTAACTCCATCTCAGCTCGACCCAATACAATGCCGCAACGTTCTACTGGTTTGATGCTACCCACCTAGAAGTGGTTTTGATGGGCTTACCTGAAACGCGGGCACTGCAGGCATACCTCAGGCTATTTTCACAGCACTGCTGCTCTTTCCAAAAACTGATGAGTGTTTTGATGAGGATTTCTGCTGTCCAGGGAATATCTGGAGAAGAATTTTCTGAAGGGATCAGCTGACCGGCAAGGGATCCAGCCACCCTCAGAGCCGTCATGTGAGATTTTTCACAGGATGCCAGAGAGGGCACCGAAATCAGCAAGATCATAGGTTTTCCAGTCATGGATTCCCGGTCACCCTACCTGTAACTATTAACACAAGCATTACTTCACAGTGAACAAACTCTACCCACTCCCCTTGCAGAGACATGGCATGAGGCTCTTACAATATTTAAGACAATTTAAGCTCTAAAATAGGGCTCTAACAAAGCTTAAATGCTGAATTTGTGGTAGACCTTCCAGAAGCAAGATTTTTTTTATTCCTGCAGGCCTAATATTTATGAACTTGAAAGCAACTCTGGTATAAGTAAAAAGAAAAAAGTGCTGGTTTACATGTGCATAAGCGTATCTGCCTATTTCTGTGGGTATTCCCATGGGCTAGTATTTGAAAATGCACCTCCTTGAAGTTTCTAGCTGAAGATTAAGTGGTGTAAATCTAAACATGAGAAGAGCATAAATATAAATATGAAGAGTGTAAATATAAACATGAGGAGAATGTCCTTGGAAAGGTAAAGAAAGGGATGTAACTACTGGAAGAGAAAAAGCAACACTTGACGTATTTGAGGTATTATCTGCCTCAAACAATAAACTAGAAAACTTGTGAAAGGTGGCCAGACCAAGAACCCATAAGCACAGGAACTTAAAGGAGTACACCTTCATGAAACTGACATCTCCGCCTTCAGGTTCCCCAGAGTCTCCTGGGTGTTTGGCCAGTGGTATGGTGATGAGACCTCTCAGCAAGCTCTGCAAGTCACCGCTTGGTTTCACATGGTTCTGTGCATACCCAGTAGAGCTGGCTGTCAGAAGAGACACTTGGCCGCTGACTGTTTGACTATTGGCTGTCCAGTTCCACCACCTTGGTCACGAACATCCTTGGCCCATCAGTTCCCTTGGGATGAGGGATGACAATGTGGCATTTCCGATCACTCTGCTACCCTAAAATGTGGAGGTAAGTGTGTAAAGAGTCAAAGAATGTTAGCATCGTAGGAAACAAATGCTTCTCTACAATCCTCCACTGAGCAAAGTCAGAAAGAGGACAGAGACAAGGACAGACAGAGGTCAGTCCAGGGAACAGAAGGCCCCAAAATTGCATGTAACACCCTCAGACCTGTAGTTACCTGAGAGTCCTGCCTGGTCTCAGGTCAGCACAACCTGCTCAGGCCAAGCCGCTTGGAGTGCCTACAAAACTGTGCCAGTCTGCACAAAATTTGCCTGCCCTGCCAAAAGAAAGGAGAAACATTCTTGGGAGCAGTTAAATAAGCACAGTATGAAACTGTGAATGCAGTTCAGCACTAAACATTATGAGACGGTATGTGGTTATTATACAGGCAAGCATGAGATTGGGACTTCGCACATAAATACTTTGTTGTATGAACATCAAAACAAATATCCACTAACCTGCACTGTGTGTGCAAACAGAAAACAAGCAATCCACTTCAAAAGAAGATACGCGGTTGGTTGCACGCTTCCCCTTGGCAGAGGGGGAGAGGACAAACGTCTGATGTTAGTGATAGTCTTTAATACAGATATAAGCTTAGAGGGAGTGAGAGGGCTAAAGGGGCTAAACAGATTACCTGCCGTGTTTGTACTGGCACAGCCTCTTCCTTCACAGGAACTGCTGCCATAATGTGGTCTTAAAAGTTCTCAACAGCTAGCTACCACAGTGAATGCCGTACAACGTTGCCCTGGCAGGGATAGGACTAGATGACACACCTGGCTTCTGATTCTCTAATTTATACGGTCCTAGGAAAATGCCCTTACCCCTTACAAGACACTTAGCTGCAGTGATGCCGAAGCATCTACTGAGATACATTTCTGCTGCATCTCCTTCTGTGGGAGCCCACTACTACATATGGAAAGCAAGATTTTTCAAGAATTTTAGTAGATTGATGCATTAATGCAAAACTGATTGCAAAAACATTGTTTTCTTCCAAATCTTACTGGACAAATCAACTGACCGATCTCACCAATATCAACTGTACTGACCTACTTCTTTGCTGATACAAATTCATGCCTGACTTCTAGTTTAGATAGGGTACAGACCACACGAGGGCCTATAATATCAGCCCAGCATTTAGACAAGGCCAAGAGCTCAAAGCGAACCGAGCATCCAAGGGAATGACAAGTCACTAAACACAGTTGGCCACCTAAGACTGATTTGGCCACAGCACGACACTGAGCTAAATCTGATCTTGATCCAAACTGAGGGCTGATAGATCTCCATTAATTTGGAAGCGATTAATTTTCCTAAGGGGCAAAATTCTAAACTCACTGCCCAGAAACCCTGCAGTCGTTCCCTCTGGAAAATGAAAAAAAAACCCAAACCCCAACCCACAAAACCAAAACAACCCCACAGGGAGCAAATATTCCCTTTGGAGTGTATAAACTGGCTGCTTTCAGTCCTTCCAATTAAATCACAAAACAAATAGCACCACAAATTCCATCCTAACTTTCCCTAGGTGCCCTTTTCACCACCCCTTTCATTAGGTCTGCCCCCGTCCATCACGCTACAAAGCACAAGGCCAAAACCTCGCCGTGTGCACCCGCGTGAGCTGGCCCCGGTGTGATGCAGTTTGCCAAGCCTGCCTCCTTCTGACTTTTATCGCCAACTTGCCTCTTGACTCCAGGGACGGTGTGCCTGATGTCATTGCTCAGACATCCTCAGTCTGATCTACTGCCATTGGCAAAGACCTACGAATTCCCTATGGAAACAAGTCCTCCAGTTTCTGAGTATAACGTTACTATCCTTAGCGTTTTCCCAGAAGGCTAAAGTGCAATGAGGTTTATTTTTTTTTCTTTGTGGTTGTTTTTCAGCTAATGGGATTAATTGCAGAACAGACATGTGAGACACCTGTGATCTTAGATCCAACCTCCAAAGTAAATCATTGGGATTTGCTTGTTGAAGTAACCAGATGATCAAGGCAAGGCTGCATGTCCCAAAGTTCAAAGGTTAAAATCGGGATGACCAGTCTCACATAAATAAAAGTCGTGTGATGCTACAGGATCTTTGAAGTACTCACTGTGGATGAATTCCTGTGCTTTACCTTTCTTGTAGATTTATTTGTGTCATATAATCTATTGATTTACAAGTGCTGAGGAAAAGAAGCGCCAAACGCATCTGGGACTAAAAGCCGTCATGTGGACTCCAGTGATTTGTTGCCCCTGCAGCATCTTGTGGGAGATTTTCCACTTGGCACTCACAGAGTCCTTGTAAAAGGAAGGCAGATTTCGTGACACACAACCCGTAACTTCAAGTGGAGGTGGGGATATCTGACATGGTTAACTTCTCACAGCAAGAAGGTCAGAGATTAAATAGGTCAGCACACATTTAATGGTGTATCAGTGAGGCCCTTCTGAGGCTCATCTTTATTTAAAACCTGGATTTTAAATGAGACACCATGTACAATGGGAGTGTCACTACCTGCACCATTCCCACATCTTCTCTTCCAGCCTATCAAAGTCTTTGCAATGGCCATAAGAGCGATTCCTGTTCAGTTTTGTAACAGCTTTGATCCATTGATTTCAGCTGAGTTCCAGATGACCCAGCACGACAAAAAAAAATAGTACGGTCTGGCCAGGTCTTTCAGCCTTATTCAAAGAGCATTCTTCTTTTGGTCAACATTTAACTTCAATCTTCTATGCATACCAGGTCTTTCAGCCTTATTCAAAGAGCATTTGGTCAACATTTAACTTCAATCTTCTATGCATCTCTCTCATAGATTTTGCAACCAAAACTCAAGAGCACAAAGAGGTGGGGTAGAGATCACTGACACCATACCTAACCATTGCTTTTCAGGCAGCTGTAAAAGATGTGAAGCAGAGTTGTAAGAACTGAGGTGACAGTACAGTTGATCGCAATTGGAAGCTCCTGAACAACATTGTTTCTGGCTGGCCTCTCCTTGGGAGGGAGGCTGCGGAAAAGAAAGGAGAGTGAATGCTGGACAGCTGAGATGGAAAAAAAACGTAGTATACAGAAAGTGGGGAGCTTCTGCTCAGTTGAGAGAGTACAGATACAAGGACCCAAGAAAAGGGTAAGGAAAAGCCTTTTCAGCTAGTGACGTGGCAGGGAACACAGGAGGCCTGTAAGGCAGGACATTGCCTCTCTACAGCTGATTTCTCCCCTACTCAGAAGAGCAGGTCTTGTAAATAAAGAGATTTGCGCCAAAGACACTTGGCTCCAAGACAAATGTCATCTCTTCAGATATGCTCAGACTGGTTTTAGATACGGCAGTAAATGAACTCCTGAAAGCACTGATGTGTGGAGCATCTGCACCAAGATGAATTCACTGGTTTGCTGAGCACTGAGCGTAGCTCTGCGTAATGCCAGGAGGATTTAAAGTAGCTGGCAATAGCCATGTAAGTGTTCCCCCACCTACAGCTCATCGAGCGTAGTCAGGCCATGACTGAACCGTCCTTTGGGCACACTGTGAGCTAGAAAATGCCTCTTGAGCAGTATCAGGACTTTTAAAAACCTGCCTGGGGCCATCCATAGCCACATCTGTCAGTTTTCAGACATTTACAGACTCGTTTCCTTGCTTGCTAACACTTATAGTGTGCACATGTTGGTAGCAAACTAGATCCCGTTATGTACATAAATCTATGAAAACGTCTAAGTTTAAAAGAGGAAAACAAGGAGAAGCTAATAATTAGACCTTTCAATCTAACTTCAGTCCCTAGGCACTACTAAAGCAAATACACACTCTGTGTACACTGAAGTCTACTTAAAGATGAATAGTATCCAGAATGGATTTGCTAAGTTGTGTCAAACCAAATTGTTTTTCCTCCTACCCCACTGTAGCAGATTTTGTGAAGAACAGTGGATGTTGACTTTGCCACTGCTTCTTTCTATCGGATTAGAAAAATGTAATATAAATTAAACTTCCAACAGCGCACATGCAAAGCCAGGAAACACTCCTCAGTGATGCAAGCGATATCCTATCGGAACAGAAGAATAAATCAAAGAGGGTTCCATGCGCTCCTTTCTGGAACGCGCTATGTT